GGGGAGGGGGCCCTGACCCTGCCCTGAAGCCAGGCAGAGAGGGGGAGGGGGGGGGTGGGGGGGGGTGGGGGTGGGGCGGGGCCGCGCGGGAGCAGCGGGGCGTCGGGCCCGCGCCACAGGCGGCCAGCGCGGGGGGGGGGAGGGGAGGGGAGGGGCGGGGAGGGGTGGGATGGGGGCGGGGACAAGCGCGGCGGCGGCGGGCCGGGCGGGCGGCACTCGGGATTGGCCGGCCGCCGGCCCCCGCCCCCGCCTCTCGGCCAATCGCCTGCGCGCACGGCCGGCCTCCAGGTTCCGCAGGCCCCGCGGCTCCCGGGTTGCGGCTCCGAGTAGCAGCCGCGGTCCGAGTCGCGGCTCGCAGCGTACGGACGCGCGCAGTCCGCCCCTCCTTCCAGAGTCTTCGTCCAGGTGAGCGCCCGCCGGGCCGGGAAGCGCCCGCCACCCCTGGGGGCCGGGTGGGGCTCGGGTCGCCCCCACCCTCCGCCGGAGTTGCATCATCTGCACCTGCACGCGGCGGAGCGGGGCCGGCGTCCCGCGCGCCCCCCGCGCCCCCCGCGCCCGCGCGTCCGGACGATTTTGAGGCCGGGGTTCAGAGCCCGCGTGGCCCCGGGCCTCCCCCCGCAACTCCCGCGGCTGTGGAGCGGAGAGGGTGAGGGGCTGGGAGCCGGGGTGTGAGCATCGATTTTTCGATGTATTTTGGATGGGAAATGACTGTTTCGTAAATTGCTCTTTTCCGTCAATTGTATGAGGCGGGAGTAAATATTGGTGTAGTTGCGCGGGCGGCACGTGAGGTGGGTGCCCATGGGGGGAGGGGCGCAGGGCACGCGGGGGTCGTGCCCCGGGCACAGACTCGGATGCCTGAGGTCCCCCACCTCCCCGAACCCTAGGGGAAGCGGGTGGTTGAGCTGCGGAGGGAGGGGTTGGGGAGGGGCGGGAACGCAAAACTTTTAGTTTCCCAAGGGATTATTTATCCCAAACTGCCCCTCCCGGGCCCTTTCCAAATCCAGTGAAGTCTTGATCTCCCACCTGAAAACTCACACTTTAAAACGAGTTCACTACACCCGCACCCTTGACCCTGCCCCCCCCCCCTCACCGGGACAACGTGCGTGTGTCTGCAGGTTGCAAGATGCACTTGGGGGCGTCGTGACCCCAGGAGGGTCTTGCTCTTTAAGATGGGGTTCCAAGTGGAGCAGGAACCAGCGGGCGGCTCCAGGTGAGCCCACCTCGCCAGCCACGTGCGCTGGGCCCACGGAGAACCGGTCCGGGCCAGCTGGGTCACATGAGTCGTAACCTGTTGCCAAGCCGGCACCCGGCCCAGTGCTTTGGGGTCCGTGGAGACTCGGTTGGCTTCGATCTTTGTACCCAGCAGCTCCTTACCTCGCCGGAGGTCATGCCAGTCTAGGCAAGTCACCAAAAAGGAGGCACGGAGGCTGCGCTCGGCTTTCGGGGCCAGTCCTGCAGCCCGAGGCGTGCCTGCCTGGCCAGAGCACTGAGGCTGTCTGCCTCCGAGGGGGAGGAGGGTCTGTGACCTGGGCGGGCTCTTACAGGGTGGAAGAATCACGAAGAGGAAGAAAAGTTACTGGTCTCCCCAGGGTGGGGGCTTTTCAGAAGGTTAGAGAAGGTCGGGGACGGCTGAGTGGCCTCAGGGAAGCCCTGACTCTCCCAAAAGAAGCCAGTGATCCCAAGGCTGGAAAGAAGCACCGCTCGAAGGCCACTGGCAGGCTCGGAGCCTGGTTTCTCTGGAAAGGGGCCAGCCCCACCGGCCTGGTGCGTTTCCAACGGGTGTGACTTGCAAGGGGTCGGGAGGTTCCTAACTTCCTGTTGGCAGGCTCCGGCCTGGGCTGCACCGGGCCACCTGCACTGGGGGAAGCGGACCCGGCTGGGGCTGCCTCTGCCTCTGCGGACAAGCAGCCGGGCTCCCTGCGCCCTGGGGGAGAAAGTGAGCAAGCAAGTGAGCGCCCCAAAGCCTGGATTTACATCTCCATGTGAGGAGCCCTTTCACCTTCAGCCCCGTTCTGCTCGGGCCACTGGACCATTTCTCAGCAAAACTGCCTGACGAAGCTCTTGGGGAGCAGAGGAGGCGTGTGGCTGAGATCTGGGGTCCCACCTGCTTCCCAGAGGGGCTGTGGGCCACCCTGGGCCACATCACATCCCCTACTGTGAGCTACTGGTAGAGGCTTTCCAGGCCTACGGGGTTCCGGAGCTTTTTCTTTTCTTTCTTTCTTTCTTCCTTTTTTTTTAAGTGTGCAAACAGGGAGAGGGACAGAGAGAGAATCTTAAGCAGACTCGGCACAGAGCCCGATATGGGGCTCAATCCCACGACCCTGGGATTATGCCCTAAACTGAAATCAGAGTCAGACGCTCAACTGACTGAGCCACCCAGGTGCCCCAGAGGCCCCCCCACCTTTTTTTAAGAACAGTTTTAGTTTTAGGAAAAACCAGGAAGACAGCAGAGAGGCCCCGTGTGCCTGCTTCCCAACACCGTTTCCCTGAGCAGCCAAGCCTGTTGCGGCCTAAGTACCTTGGTTACAGTTAGTGACCACAGCTGTTAGCTGAAGTCCTGCTTAACTCACATTTCCAGGGTTTTCCCAAACACCCGTTATCTCTTCCGGGTTCCGTGGAGAATATGCCTCATTTGTGCAGCTGTACCGTCTCCCGTGGGAACTTTCCAGTCCTCGGTCGGCTGCGGGGCGGCTGCGCGCTGAGCCGGGCTGCCGCCCTGGTCGCCGTGGACCGGGAAGAAGGGGACAGAAGACGACGGGCTGAGTTCAGTCGCAGCTTCCTGAAGATCAGGGTGGCGCCTGTTGTCACCCCAGGGGAGTGAGGCAGGCGCGCAGCCCAGTGAGGCCTCCTCGCCTTTGACCCAGCCGGTCCCTGTCCTGCTGTCCGTCTTTCCTTCCTTTCTTCCGTCTCCTTGTCGCCTCTGTTTTAAGGTTGTGTGTGATTTTTATTTTTTTAACTTTTTTTTGTAAGTTCATTTATTTATCTTGAGAGAGTGAGTGCAAGCAGGGGAGGGATGGGGGGGCAGGGAGAGAGAAGGGAGGGGAGAGAATCCCAAAGAGGCTCTGCACTGTCAGCACAGAGCCCAGGGGCTCGAACTCACAAACCACAAGATCATGACCTGAGCCCCTTCCCCACTCACGCTCTGTCTCACCCTTTCTCTCAAAAGTAAATAAGTGTAAAAAAAATTTTTTTTTTAAAACGTCATTCCTTTTTTTAGGGTAAATATATTATCTCCATTTCTCTCTGATTTCCATCATATAAATGTAGTCTTTTCAAGAGCAACTTTTTTTTAATGTTTTATTTATTTCTGAGAGAGAGACAGAGACAGCGTGAGCAGGGGAGGGTCAGAGAGAGGGAGACACAGAATCTGAAGCAGCTCCAGGCTCTGAGCTGTCAGCACAGAGCCAGATGCGGGGCTCGAACCCACAAACCGTGAGATCATGACCTGAGCCGAAGTCAGACGCTTAGCCGACTGAGCCCCCCAGGCGCCCCCTCAAAACAACTTTTTTGGCGTAACAAAAGTTGTATGTACAGTTGAGCCTCGAGCAGTGGGGGGGCTTAGGGGCGCCGACCCCACATAGTCAAAACTCCACATGTAACTTTTGGCTCCCCCAATATACCAGCTTACCCTTTCCCCGGAAGCCTTACTGATAACATAAATGGTCAATTAACACACATTTTGTATATAGGAAGTATTTATGGTGTGTTTTCACAATAAGCTGGAAAAAGAGTGTTAGGAAAATCATAAAGAAGGAAAAATCCATTTACGGTACTGTGCTGTATTGTCAGAAAAATTTCACATGAAAGCGGACCCGCACAGTTTAAACCCATGTTGCTCAAAGGTCAACTGTATTTAAGATGTACAACTTGATTTTTAAAATTTTTTAATGTTTATTTTTGAGAGAGTGCAAGTGGGGGGGGGTGCGGACAGAGGGGTAACAGGGAACAGAGAGAGGGAGACACAGAATCCGAAACAGGCTCCAGGCTCTGAGCTGTTAGCACAGAGCCCAACGCAGGGCTCGAACTCAAACTGCGAGATCATGACCTGAGCCGAAGTCGGACGCTTTGCCAACTGAGCCCCCCGGCAGCCCCGTTCCTTCTTTTTAATGGAGCCGTCCCTGTGTGTGGCACTCACAACAGAAACTCTTTTTACAACTTGGTGTTTTGATTTCATGTCTACATTGTGAAAAGATCCCACAGTCAAGTAAACAACATACACACCCATCACCCCTGCATAGGAACTTTTTCTTTTTGTACACGCTCACATATCGAGAAATTTGAAAACTTTATTACTTTTTTGTGGCCAAATAATATTCCATTGTGTGGCCACATTTTGTTTATCCCGCATCTGTGATGGGCGTTTGGTGTGTTTCCACGTTTTGCCTGTTGTGATTGTGTTGCTATGAACGAACGTGCTGTGCAAATATCTCTTTCCAGCCCTTTGGACGTTTGCCGAGGGGCGCCGTGCTGGCCCACACGGCACTTCCATGTTTAACCTTGTGAGGGGCTGCCACACTGTCGGCCACGGCAGCTGGCCCTACATTTTTGAGCTTGTACTTGTGCTATTTGAATGTGTAGAGCCCCCCCTGCCCCTGCCCTGCCCCCACAGAGGGACCCGGTGAGCAGGACTGCCCAGGCCCACCCCCCCTCACCCCTTCCCCTGCAAAGGGACCCAGTGAGCAGGACTGCCCAGGCCCACCCCTCCTCACCCCTTCCCCTGCAGAGGGACCCGGTGAGCAGGACTGCCCAGGCCCACCCCCCACCCCCCTTCCCCTGCAGAGGGACCTGGTGAGCAGGACTGCCCAGGCCCACCCCCTACCCCCCTTCCCCTGCAGGGGGACCTGGAGAGCAGGATCAAAGCAAGCTCTTCAGCAGGGGGTCAGAAGTAGCCTGAGCCAAGTCTCTCCCTCCCTTTGCCAGATCCCAGCATGCCTTCCGAGACACCCCAAGCAGAAACGGGGACTGCAGGGTGCCCCCACCACTCAGGGGCACACCTGAGGAAAGGGAGCCTGGAGAAGGGGCCTCCGGGGGACAAAGAAGCCAAGGAGCGCCTGTGGATCCGTCCCGATGCCCCCAGCAAGTGCTCCTGGCAGCTGGGCCGGCCGCTCACCGACTCCCCGCACCACCACGCTGCCCTGTAAGTGCCAGCTTAGCATTCTTTCTTTTTATTAAAAAAAAAAAAATTTTTTTTTTTTAAGGAGAGCGAGCATGTGCACAAGCTGTTGGGGGGGGGCAGAGAGGGGCAGAGAGAGAGGGAGAGAGAACCCCAAGCAGGCTCCTCGCTGTCAGCCTGAAGCCCAATGCTGGGCTCGATCCCGCAAACCGTGAGCCAAAATCAAGAGTCGGGCGCTTAGCTGCCGAGCCCCCCAGGCGCCCCTGCTTATGGGATTGAAAATCCGAGCTGAGGGCCGGTGGGGAGGTGCAGCCTCAGGGAGGCTGATAGAAATGAAACACTTACAGATCCGGAGCCCCAAGCGTCACGCGTGGCTGCACTGGCAGCAAGGAGGCCAGGCTGGCTGCTGTCCTGATGGTGGCCGGGGGTAAGGCCGGTGTGAGGCCAGGCCTGGTGGCTCCCGGGCCTGTCACCGGAAGGCCTGGGCGGAAAGGATGCCGTCGTAACCAGGTGGTCACGCCTGCCGCTCGCTCCCTGGCCTGATGGGCCGCCTGAGCTCCCCTAAGGGGCTGCCGTGCCGCGTGCAGCTGGCCCGGTCGAGGCGCGCGGCGTTGGGGCTCACCTGCCCGGAGAACGTGAGAGCAGGGCGCCTCGTGGTGCCCGGGGAGCCTGGTGCTGACGGCCCAGGGGTGAGGATGAGAGGCGGGCGGGGACACGGTGCCTTGGCCCAGGGTCTGCACTGGTGCCCTGGGACATCTGGGGAAGGGGATTCGAGATGGTTCGGAGGTGGGAGTGCTTAGGAGGGCCAGGGTGGGAGCGTTGGGGAGGAGTGGGAGGTCCCCCTCCCTGCTGAATTCTTTCCCCAGATCCCGCCCCCCCATCACCTCAGGCGCAGGTGGCTTTTGCCCCCAAGGCCTCGTGCTGAGTCAAGACCCCAAGTTCTGCCCCGAGGGGTGGGCCCCATCCTCCCGGTCAGCCTCAGCCCCTGCTGGGCACAGGGAGGGTGCAGGCATAGGCCCTTCCCTTCTATTTAGTTAATGAATCACCTCTTAGCCTGATGCTGAGGGCATGGCCTCCTCTTAAGGCCAAGGTCAGGAGCCCTTTGCCCCCCACCCCCACCCCACCTCTACCAAGCTTTCCCTCCGCCCTGCCTCCAGGGAGCTGCCTCTGGCCTGCATTGGAGGCTGCTGTGGTTGGGTCCTAGCTTGTCCAGGGGGAGGCCTGTTTGGGCCCCCAGGGTGGAATGCAGCCCCCCGGGGAGCTGGGCGGGGAGCTGGGCGGCCTGGCCTGGGGCCAGGGATCTGGTGTGATGATGGGTTCCTGGAGCAGCAGGCCCATTAAAGCCTGAGAACCATGGACATAAGTGAGAAATCACAGGGCGTAGGCAGCTGCACTCAGGTCCGGGGTACACGTCTCCAGGCGGGTGTGTGGTGAGCATGTCCTGGGCACGGAAGGGAAGGTGTGGACTTGGCATCCGTCTCTGGAGGGTGAGGATGGAGGAGACTCTGCAGGAACTGCCTGCGTTGTGGCTGGCACACACGTGGCTGGCACACACGCTGCAGGGCTGGCCACACCCGCCTGTCACCTGTCACCAGCTGGAAGAACGGAGAGAGGAAGCCAGTCCCTGGAATGCGAAGGGGGACAGCTGGTCCGGGATGCAGAAATCCCACACTGAGCCTGGAGGTCCACCTGACCCCAGGGCACCAGAGACTCCCCAAGCCTGACGTTTTCCGAATGATGCCTGGTGTCCGGGGCGCCCCTTGTGGCCACTGTCCGTCCCTGTGGGCACCCTGAGGGGTCTCAGCTCTGGAGGCATGTTTTTTCATCAAGGAAAAGAGGGACAAGGAATCCCAGGGGTCGGGTGCCGAGAGAGGGAAGGAAGTGGAGGTCCCTAGGGAAGGCTTTCGGAACAGATGGACCAGGGCCTGTCGTTGAAGCCAGTGTCGTCTGCTCCAACTTCCGTATTTGGAAATACTTTTTTTTAACGTTTATTCATTTTTGAGAGAGACAGAGACAGCATGAGCAGGGGAGGGGCAGAGAGAGAGGAAGACACAGAATCTGAAGCAGCTCCAGGCTCTGAGCTGTCAGCACAGAGCCCGATGCGGGGTTTGAATCCAGGAACCTCGAGATCGTGACCTGAGCCGAAGCCAGATGCCCAACCGACTGAGCCCCCCCAGGCGCCCCTGTATCTGGAAATAATTTCACCTAAGAAGTTGCAGAAATAACGCGGAGGGGTCTTACATCCCTTCCCCCAGCTGCCCTCTTGACACAGGCTCCTGTCACCCAGGAAACGACCTTGGTGCAGCTCACCGTTAGCCACACCACTGGGGATTTACACTCGTAGGTGTCCTCACGTGTCACGTGTGCACACGTGAGCATGAATATGCCTGTGGCCTTTTACCCTGCGTGCAGGTTTGTGAACTCACCACTCGGATCCCTCATTCAAGCCAGTTCTTTGTTTCTTGAGATTTATACAAAACCGTGAGCTGGACGGCCCGGTCTGATTAATCGTGGACTTCTCTGTTATAGGACAAAATCCCCCAAGATCTTGCCAGACATCCTCAAGAAAATTGGGGACACCCCCATGGTGAGAATCAATAAGATTGGGAAGAAGTTTGGCCTCAAGTGTGAGCTCCGTGAGTACCCGGCATCCTCCATCCGCCCCCGGCAGCAGCCCAGTGGGCTAGGGGTGCGGGGTGGACCCCTGGGACCCTCTAGGGGCCAGGGGGGCCAGGAAATGAGCGGCTGACGAATGTCTGAGACCATGGCAGGTGGCATCAGAAAGAAAGCATAGTGGGGGGACGTGAGGGGTGCGGCTGAGCGGGCGCCCAAGTCAGGGCCTGAGCGAGGACACAGTGTGGAGCCCCAGGGAGCATGTTCTGGGCCAGCCTCGAAGGCAAACCCAAGCCAGGAAGGAGCTGATCTTGCCCCGATGTGAGGAGGGGGAGATGTCACAACGGGGTCCGCTTTCGTGACGCGGGGTCCCGGGCATCGACTGGGCAGGAAGGCGGGTCTGCATCCAGCCGGTTTTGTGGGGCTAGACCGTCCGTTACGAGGCAGCAGGAATTTGGGGAGCTGCGCCTGGCCTGTCCTCGGCGTGAGGGGGGCCACCGGCAGGCCGTCTCTAAGCTCTGGGGAGGGGGCTTCTTTGCAGAGGCGGTGTCCAGGGACACAGGAGCGTGGGGGAGTCTCTTCGCCATTGCTGTTCCGGGACGTGGGCCCCCAGTGGACTTGAGCTCCGTCACTCGGGGAGCCGCGGTGTCAAGGCCCTGGAGGGGGACCAGGCAGCTCGAACCCCAGGGCACAGAGGGGACGGGTCACCCAGAGCCAGCATGGGGTGGGGCTTGAGGAGGTCCCAGGGCAGCCCCTAAGGAAGGGTCAGAGGCCATGATGGCCCGGAGGCGGCATCGGCTCAGCTGTCCCTCCACCCCTCGGGGAAAGAATTCTCCAAGCGGTGAGGGTGCACACTCACGGGTTACGCTGGGGGCACGGCTGCCTCGGGAGCCCCCACAGCCGGGCAGGCCTGCTGCATCGCGACCCAGGGCGACCGCTTCACACATGCGTGCCGCAGCTCCGACGGGTCACGAGGCTTACCCGGCGCCCTGGGCCGGTCTGCTCAGATCCCAGGGCCAGTGCCAGCCTTCCCGGGGGCCCGTGGCGGTTACCACACTAATTGAGCGTGGGACGTGGAAGGGCCCCAGGGCTCAGGCCTGCCGAGCGGTCAGGCACCACCGCGTGCACACACCGTCCCCCCACGGGCTCTGCCCGGGTCTGGGGGGTAAGAGTCCGTCTGGTGGTAGGATTTCGGGAATCGGGACTAGGGGACGCGGTCCTGGCGTGCACAAATGGCACAGTGTCCCCCCAGCCTTTACTAACATGGCGTACTTGTGAGAGCTGGCGGGAGCCCGCCCCCAGGAAGGAGGAGCCGAGGCCCTGGCCCAGGACTGGGGGTGGGGGAGCCCCGTGTTCCTGGGCGAGGGCCTCTCCCGGTGAGCAGGGTGATGGGAGGCAGGCGTGGAGGGTTTGAAGCCCCCAGTTGGGCGGGGCGGGGCGGTGACCCCCACGCCGTCTGCCCTGCCTCACGTTGGCCCCCTGCTGCATGCCCGGCTATAGCCGCTCTTGTGCCCGTGCTGCCCCAAGGGGGGCTTTTTCTGGCCCATCCACCCCGCGGGGGGCTCCTTGCATCTCTCCCTCACTTGGAGTAGCCACGGACAGGACAGCGTGTGACTGGGCAGGGGGAGCTTCCGGGTGGGCGAGCACGCTGCTCCTGGCGCAGGGTGGGTGGGAGTGGAGATGGGGGTGGTTTGCGGTCACCATGTGCTGGTGTATCACGTAACGGGAGGCCGTGGGATCACTTAGGGGGCAGGGGCCTCCTGTCCTGATTCGTCCTCGGCCCCCAGTGGCCAAGTGTGAGTTCTTCAACGCGGGCGGGAGCGTGAAGGACCGAATCAGCCTGCGCATGATCGAGGACGCCGAGCAGGCGGGGATCCTGAAGCCCGGGGACACCATCATTGAGCCCACGTCCGGGAACACAGGTGGGTCCCGGGACAGGCCGGGAGGGTCCCCTGGTGGGGGTGACTTGCCGCTGCGGGCTGGCCTGTCTGACAGGCCTCTTCCCTCGACACGTTTGGGCCGCACAGAATGCGTGCGTTTGGAGGGCGGTGCCGGGGGAAGGTGCAGGCCGCGGTCCCACGTCCTCCCGCGCGCATCGCTGCTCTGGGGCCACCTCCCCTTTGCATTTCTACCCCGGGTGTTCTCTGCCTGGGCCTTCTGGCTGCGGGGCGGCACGGGCACCATCGCCCCCCTCACCCCGCGCACTGTCCCCAGGGATCGGGCTGGCCCTGGCTGCTGCCGTGAAGGGTTACCGCTGCGTCATCGTGATGCCGGAGAAGATGAGCATGGAGAAGGTGGGGGCAGGGGCGTCCTTGGGGCCCGCCCCTGTGCACGGGGGGGCGGGCAGGGGGTAGATGCGGGCCTCCGTGTTGCTCTGCAGGTGGACGTGCTGCGGGCCCTGGGAGCCGAGATCGTGAGGACACCTACCACGGCCAGATTTGACTCCCCGGAGTCCCACGTGGGGGTGGCCTGGAGGCTCCGGAACGAGATCCCCAATTCTCACATCCTGGACCAGGTGAGGCCGAGGTCTGGGGGTAAGCATGCACTCGGGGGTGGGGACCCCCGCCAGGGTCAGGGACGGGTGCCCCGCCGGCGGCAGGAGGGGGGCTGCAGAGGGGCTGGCGCGCTGGCACGCAGTCGCCGGATCACCCCGCCTGTCTGGCCCTCCAGCGGGCGCCAGCCTCTGTCTCTGCCTTCTGTGCCGGCCCTGGGGGCCTCTGCTCAGTGCCTGGGCCGCAGCGGCCTCTGCCGGGGGCCCCGGAAGCCCTGTACGGGGGTAACGTGCACAGAAACCTCTTCCCCGGGGCGCTCTGCCTCGCCCGTGTCACTTCGGGGTGAGCTCAGGAATCGCGCCTTCTGGAGAGCCGGCCTTAACGTCCAGTGCCGGGCGAGGCTCCTGAAGCTGCCTGTGCCGTTGGCCGCGCGCTCAAGCTGCCGGGATCCTCTCGGGCTTGCTGTCCGCCTGATGCCCTGCGGCCGTCGCCGGCCCCGCGCACCGGGCCTGACCGCAGCCCTGGGCCGTGTCCCCACACAGTACCGCAACGCCAGCAACCCGCTCGCCCACTACGACACCACCGCCGAGGAGATCCTGGAGCAGTGTGACGGTGCGTCCCCTGTCCTGCCCTCTGTGCGTCCTGGCTGCGTCCAGCCCTGCTCGCTGGGAGTGGACGGTCACCCTCTCCTTGGGAAACTCCTATCCGTCCTTCAAAACCAGCTCTAATGTCCCCTGTTTGTGAAATGCTTTCCAGAGCATTTCCCTGGAGTGGGTTTCTCCCCATGGTGCGCTTTTTTGCATTTTGTCGCCACCTCGCCTGTGACCCCAAACAGATCAGGCGGTTGTGCTCATGCCCAGCAGTAGATCCTTCCAGAGCTGTGGGAGCTCCTGCATGCGGGGAACGAGGGGCCGGGCTGGCGCCGGAGTGCCACCCCCCCCCGCCGCCGGCTTCCTGCTGTTGAACGGCCCCTGGCATCAAGCCCCAGTCCGAGTGTTGAATTCAGCACCCGGGGTTTCTCCTCTCCAGAGCCGGACGCTGGTGCCCGTGGGTTGGTTTTCTTCCTGTGCAGGCATGAGCCTCCTGGAGCCTTTCTACACGTTCCGAGCCAGGCCCCGTGGGGGTGGGGGCGGGGACAGCGGTTTCCGACGGGCTCTTTTCCCTGAGAGGCTTCGGGGAGAAGCTGCCGGGCGGCCGGCACCATTGGCTCCCCGCTGGGAACCTGGCGTTGGCATCGGCTCACGAGCGGCCTCATTCCAGGCCCAGGGGCCAGGCGGCGAGGTCCAGGCATTCGCTCAGCCGGGTTTTATGTGTGAGAATTCTCTCCTTTGGCAAAGACAAACCCTCTGCCTCAGTGCCGGTGCCCGCGCTGACTTGTCTGCGAGATGCCTGAGCCGGCCGTGCGGCCGAGCCCAGATGCGTGGGCCGAGCCTGACGGATTTACTTACCTCTTTATTTTATTTTACTTTATTTATTTTATTTTATTTATTAATGTTTATTTTTATTTTTTAAATTTTATTTTTTAATTTTGTTTTTAAATTTTGTTTGTTCGCTTTTGAGACAGAGAGAGACAGTGCACAAGCAGGGGAGGGGCAGAGAGAGGGAGACACAGAATTCGAAGCAGCTCCAGGCCCTGAGCTGCAGCACAGAGCCCGACGCGGGGCTCGAACCCACGAACCGCGAGATCATGACCTGAGCCACCGTCGGAGTCTTAATCTGACTGAGCCCCCCAGGCGCCCCTGTTTATTTCCTTTATACCTCAGTTCACGTAGTCCTGTCCAAAGCCTGACCACGTGAGAAGGGCACAGCGAAGGGCCTCCCCGAGGTGCATCTTGATGCCGTTACGGCTTCGCACCTGACACAGGTGTCGGCGGCCCTGTGCCGACCGGCAAAGACTTAGGTGGAGCTCCTGGCTCGCTGTCACTGCGAACGCTGCTTTAGCTCTAGAGCTGTCGTGAAAGGCCAGTGAGACGTGAGAACTAGCGGTGTCTCTTTGAACCTTTTGAGAACCGGCCTTTGTTCTGGTTGCGTCTTTCCTCACCGTTGAGCGTGGTGAGCCGGCTGGGCCGTGGCTGGAGGACGCCCCCCCTGACGCGGCCTCTCCCATCAGGGCAGCTGGACATGCTGGTGGCTTCGGCGGGCACGGGCGGCACCATCACGGGCATCGCCAGGAAGCTGAAGGAGAAGTGCCCGGGGTGCAAAGTGAGTGGGCGGAGCCGGGCGGGCCGGGCACGCGTCCCTCTCCCGTCGCCCCATGTGCGGTTGGAGGCGTGACCATCAGGCTTCTGGGCCCCCCGGGCGGCCTCTGCCTTAGAGCTGGAAGCTCCCTGTCCTGACGTTTGTGCTGTACCGTGCGTGTCTGTATCTTCTTGGGAGTGACCCTCGACCTTGGTGCCCATATGCTCTGTGGGTGGTACAGACCTGGGTGGCCTCCGGGGATCATTCCAGAAGCTGTTAGGGTCACGTCCCGCATGTGCTGCGCCTTGGGGGGCATCTGGATTTGGAGTTGAGCGTGGACCCGGGGAGGGGCTCGTAGAAACATCCAGCTGGTGGTCGTGAGCACTTTTCTCCTTCCGGCCGTTTCTCTGCCGCCCGTCCCCAACGGCTCCAGCTGTCCCCACAGGGGGTGCCCTGCTCACCTGGTTGTCCCCTGGAAAGCTACTCCACACCCCCCCCACCAGCCACATGCCGTCCCCTCGGAGCCCCCCAGGTGAATGTTTACTGTGTAATCTCCCCAGCAGCTGGGGAACGGGGTCCACACCCAGGGCAGCTCTTCCCCGGGTGCTTGCTCGGGCGGGATTGGCCGCTGCGGTAAAAGCAGGGCGTGGCCGGGTGAGACCTCTGCCCAGCCCGGGCCTCGTGGCGTCCCCTCTACAGATCATCGGGGTGGATCCCGAGGGCTCCATCCTCGCGGAGCCCGAGGAGCTGAACCAGACGGAGCAGACGGTCTACGAGGTGGAAGGGATCGGCTAAGACTTCATTCCCACGGTGCTGGACCGGACGGTAGGTAGGGCCAGGGCGCTCCCCGTGCGCGGTTCCCGCCCCCGGGTACGTACGCCCTCGGCCTGGGAAGTCCTATCCGACGGAGGGGCCGTGGGGAAGTGGGCGCTGCACGAGCAGGCGGGTGAAGCGTGGCCTCGCCGTCAAGAGTAGGTAAGGGGGCACCGTGTCAAGGTGTGCCATCGCCCCGCTGGGCAGAGACACCGAGATGGCTGTGGGCCCGGGTCAGGCCCCCGCAGAGAGAGGGAGAGGGGGTGCGGGCAGGGAAGCAAGGTGAAAGATGAGGATCCCAGACGAGGCTCTTTTCAGGGGCCCAGAGGGTGAGTCTGTTGAGGGTGGGCCGCAGGGACGGGGCTCTGCGGCGGGGGCTGGTGGACAGTTTCCAGCACGTGTTGGACCAGGGAGAGGCAGAAAGTTCTAGGTTTTTAGCTGAGAGAATCTAATCACAGACGTGGGGCTGGGCCGTGTCGACTGCCCATCATGGCCTCGGGCACCAGGGGCACCTGTGAGGGTGCAGGCATGGGCTGAGGCCACGCCCCATCGCAAAGTGCCCGAGCCCTTCCAGAGCCTTCTGTGTGGGTCCTGCCTGCAGGTGGTGGACAAGTGGTTCAAGAGCAACGACGAAGAGTCCTTTGCCTTCGCCCGGATGCTGATCGCACAGGAGGGCCTGCTGTGCGGTGAGTGCCCTCGCCCCCTGCCCACCTCCAGGCCACAGGGCCGCACTTCCCAGGTGCCGTCTGTCTGCCCCTCTGTAGGGCTGTCATGCTCACAGAGGAGGGCAGGAGGCCGTGGGGCGGGTGCCCTTCCAGAACATGGCTGATGCTCTGGGTCTATGTTCCCGGGCCCCTGGGATCCACGCACTTTGTTTCCTGTGTTCTGTGCTCCCACTGAGTGGGCGTGGCCTGCAGATGTGAGGGGCCCGGGTGGGAGCAAACCCAGGAGCTCACCAGAAAAAGGAAGTAGCAGTCATCTCTGCAATCCGGGGAAGTAGGCAGTGGGGCCTGGGGTGTGAGCGGGGGTCTGCCTCCCGCCGGCCCCACTGTGAGAAGGGTCCTGGTTATTTTGGGGTGAGGCCAAAGCTTTCAAGGCACTTGCTGGTCCCCCCCCACCTTTTAATGTTTATTTTTGAGAGAAAGAGAGAGGGAGCGTGAGTGGGGGAGGGGCAGAGAGAGGGAGACAGGATCCGAAGCAGCTCCAGGCTCAGCTGTCAGCACAGAGCCTGACGCGGAGCTGGAACTCAAGAACCGCGAGATCCTGACCTGAGCCGAAGTGGGAGAGTTAAGCACTGAGCCCCCCAGGCGCCCCCTGGACACGTGTTTTCTCAGTCAGTCCCGGGTTGGGACAGGGTGCTAGGAATGCCCTGGAGAGGCCGGGGGTGGGGAGGTGGGGGGTGGGACATGCGTCACAGGGGTCTCCAGGGTCAGAGATGGGACGACCCTCCCCACCAGCTGTTTCCTTTCAGAGCCCCAAGGCCCCCAAGGGAAGTGGTTTGATTTAGACCCCCAGGGACTGACGGGCAGAGAGGACACACGGCCGTGGTGGGGGGGTCTGTGCTTCCTCGGGGGGTGGTTTAGCGACAAAAGCTTGGGTGGATGTGACGCTCCGTGCTGTAAGAGCAGCGCAGGTGCAGTGAGAAGTGGGGTCCTCCCCCCTAAGAGGCAGGCCCTGCTGGCGGCCCCCCCAGGGCTCAGGGGTGCGCAGCGGTCACAGACCCCGCCCCACCCGCCCCACAGGTGGCAGCGCGGGCAGCGCCATGGCCGTGGCCGTGAAGGCTGCGCAGGAGCTGCAGGCGGGCCAGCGCTGCGTGGTGATCCTGCCGGACTCTGTGCGCAACTACATGTAAGACGGCCCTCCCCCACCCCCGCTCCCCGCCCCCCTCCCGCCCCCCCCCCCCCCCCCCGCCCCCCTCCCTCCCCCCCCGCCCCCTTCCCCCACCCTCCCGCCCCTCTGCCGAGTCTGGCGCTTCCCAGGGCTCTCGCTGCCGGGCCCCCTGGAGGGAGAGTGGGGGTCCGCGGGACCCCTGCGAGCCCTGCCTGCACCCCCTGACCCCCAGGCTCCCCGTGTCTCAGCCAGTGCTGGTCCAGGCTCGGGTCTTCCAGACGCATGTAAAAGTCGCGCGCCCTCACGGCGCCGGCGTCTGGGAGAGCGCCCCCTGGAGGGCTCTTTGCTCACTTGCAGCCCCTCCTGCCCCCATGGCTCCTGCGATGCGTTTCCTATGAGCTGCGCCCCCCCCCCCACCCGCCTGCTGCCGCCTCCGCCCTGACCGAGATCCTGGCTTGGGCTCAGACGGCCCTTCAGGACCTGCTGGGAAGTGTCCGGCCAGTGGCCCTCGCCCCCCGGCCCCATGGCGCTGCTGCACGTGTGTCCCAGCCCTGAAGGCCCCAGGCCCAGCCGGTGGCCCCTGGCCTGTGGGCCAGGTTGCACAGCAGCAGGCTTCGGGGGGACCAGGAGCTGAGAACACACCCCGCTCCCCCAACCCTCACGGTTCCCCCATAGCCCAGGCGCTGCGGGGCGCCCTCAGTTGCTCCTGGTGGGCACCCCAAGTTGGTTCCCAGGGGTGCAGTGACTCACAGTTGCCCTGAGCTGGGCTGCCCCCCGCCCCACTCAGTAAGGAGTGCGCTCGACAGGCCTGCTGTGTGTGCATAGGACGCGTGCGAGTGTGTGTACGCCAACGTGTGAAGGAAAATGTGAGAAGGAGCCGGTCAGGGGAGAAAGGGTGGTGTGTGGGGGAGACACGGAGCAGGGGTCGGGTCAGTGGGTGGGTGTTGGGGGCCGGGGTGGGTGTATGTGGGAGTCGGGGCGAGTGGGAGGGAGACGGAGCAGGGTTGGGGTGGGAGAGGGAGAGTGGACGGGTGTTGGGGGGAGACGGGGAGAGTTGGGGGGAGGCGGCAGGTATGTGGGTAGAGATGGGGTGGGCGGGGGTGAGATGGGGCAGGGCGGCGGGGTGCGGGAGACGGGCAGGTGTGGGGGTGTAGATGGGGTGGCTGCGAGCGATAGCTAGCAGTGGTCACGTGAAGGGCCGAGCGTGTCCTCCCGCACTGGGTCTTGGTCACCCGGGGGCAGGTTAGGGCAGGTCCCAGGCAGGCAGCCCGGAGCCCCGAGGCCCCTGGAGCCGGGAACGGGCTTGCAGGCTCAGGCTCCGGACAGACTGTGTGCCCCGCGCTCCCGCACACACACCAGGCTTGCGGGCTGACCAGCTGCCCCCACTGCAGGCCCCGCTGGGTGTGCGAGGCCTGGCTCCCGGCCCCCCCGCAGCCCCCGCCAGCCTCTCGGGGTCTCTGCTGGTCCCGTGGTCTGGCGAGGGGGGCTGGGCTTCCTCAGGGCTGACTGTGCCCCAGTCCGTGAGGGCAGAGGGGTGGGGAGACCCTCCGGCCAGGCCCCAGTGGCTTCTTGGTGCCTGCAGGTCCAAGTTCCTCAGCGACAAATGGATGCTGCAGAAGGGCTTCCTGAAGGAGGAGGACTTCACCGTGACCAAGCCGTGGTAAGGACGTCTCTGAGCGGAGACCCCAGTCCCGCGTCCAGGCCGCATGCTCGCCCCACGCCTGGCAGGCCGTCTCCGCGGCCTCCCTCTGTGGTGACCCTTGTGTCACGTCTCGCCTCCTGGTTCACGGCCGGCCCGCCCCCCCCCAGGTGGTGGCACCTCCGAGTTCAGGAGCTGAGCCTGTCGGCCCCGCTGACGGTGCTGCCCACGGTCACCTGTGAGCACACCATCGAGATCCTCCGGGAGAAGGGCTTCGACCAGGTGCCCGTGGTCAACGAATCAGGGTCAGTGTCCGCCACCCCCACCCGGGGCTGAGGGGCTGGGGCTCCGCACTCTGGGACCCGGCGGCCGCGGGAGCCCCACGCAGACGGGCTGACCGTGGCCACTGTGCGCCGAGCCGCTGAGGGCAGCGGATGGCCCGTCGGACCTCGTCCTTGACCACCCGCCACGCCAGCTCTTAGGGCCCGGGGGCCCCTCCCGCCTCCCTGTGCCCTGGGTGTGGGCCCAAGGGGCGGCCGTCGGGGCCTGGCCGTGCTCTAGCGCGTGTCGAGCACCGACGGCCGCGGCGGGCAAGCACAGATGAGCGGTGTCCCCGTCTCCTGACACCACCCTCGTTCTGGAACCACGCCCACGGCCTGGGACGCTGCCGGCTGGTTACCCGAGACGCCGGTCAGGATGCTGTCCCTGCCCTGCACAGGCAGCTCCCAGGGCCGGGCGTCGGTCACTGCTGTCCCCATCCCACCCCCACGCAGCCACCACACGTGCTGGTCGAATTCTCAGAGGAAGTGCAGGACCGGCCATGGAGCACACGCTGAGGGAGGGCAGAGGTGCCTGTACTGACCCCTGGCCCCTGTTTCCCAGGGTGATCCTGGGCATGGTGACCCTGGGGAACATGCTGTCGTCTCTGCTCGCTGGGAAGGTTCAGCCATCAGACCAAGTTCAGAAAGTCCTCTATAAGCAGTTCAAACAGGTACGTGCGGTTTCCCTCGGGACCTGGGCCTGTGCTTGGGAGGTGGGGCTCAGTGCTCCCCAGGAGAGTGCCGGCGCCCTGCTGCGCCCGAGACCATGAATCCAAGGGTTCGCCCCAGCCTCACCCGGGGGTCATGATCCCAAGGCCGTCTTAGCCGAGCTGGGCGCCCAAGAGCGTGATCATTCGTGATGCCAGGCCTGTGCCCTCCCTGTGCGTGTTCGTCAAGAATGGCTGGCAGGCCGAGAACTTTCTGGGAGAGTTGCCGGGGCTGGGTGGGGCTGGGCGGGGCCTGTGAGCATCCCGAGGTGACCTCGGCCCCTCGATGGGCCGGGCAGAGGCCCCAAGTGAGCAGTCAGGCATCTCCTCTCCCTGGTCCCCGGCGCCGTCCACCACCAGCTTGTCCAGCACTTGGCGGGGAGGGAAGGCGGCTGTGTTGCACTTGAAGGACTGAGCCCAGAGCCAGGGAGGGATTTGGTTCCTCATCTCCCCACCACACACAGCTGCCGCCCGGAATCGTGTTACTTCCGCGCCCGCGGGCCCCTCCTGCCCGGCCTGGATCCCCCCCTCCGGTCCACCTGTCCTTCCTCCAACCCAGGCACTTCCCGCAGCTGGGGCCCCGCCGCCCCCACGTGATATGCTCACCCCCTGTGCCCCAGGCCCAGTCGCATCCCAGAGCACCGAGCACACGAGTGTGTTTCTTGTGTGGAAGCTCTGTGGGGGGTCACTGAGCCCGGTGTCACGTGCAAGGGGCTGGCGGCTGGGCTGAGCGAGGGCGACCCTCCCTGCTGTCCAGGCTCCTCAGCTCCTCCCATCCCTCTACCGGCGGACGTCCCAGTCCCTGGTTGTGATGTGGATACGCCCCCGTGAAACCGTCCCCACAGCCATAAGTGAACGTACCCATGACCCCAAAGGGTTCCCCCTCCCGCCCCCAGCACTGCTGACGCTCCCCTCATCCCCGCCCCCAGCACCCCTGACACCCCCATCCCCAGCATCCCCAGCACGACACCTCCTTCCCACCCCAGCCCCTCGCCCCCAGCACTGCTGACGCCCCCCTCATCCCTGCCCCCAGCACCCCTGACACCCCCATCCCCAGCACCAATAACACCTCCTTCCTGCCCCTTGCTCCCAGCACCACTGACACCAGGCGCTCGGGATCCCTGTGGTGCCCTATGCTTTGCAGGCTCGCACACACCGCTCGTGTGCCTGCCTTCCCGCAGCACAGCTCGTGAGACGCATCCCGGCGGGCCGTGTACGTCACCCGCTTCCCGCCCCGTGTGCCCCTGGGCCGCACCGGGCCTCCCGCCAGCTAGTGGGGTTGGGGGAGCCTCCTCTGATGGGCGCTCTGCTTTGTGGGTTTGTTTTCAGGCTGGCAGCATCGGAGGGCTAACGGGCAGGGCTGGGGGCTGCCACCTGGCACCCGAGTCGGTATTTTGTTCCCTCCCTTAGGGGCCATGTCAAACCTTCAGCCAAGCGTTTACCCTACAGTGAGGCCGGGGCCTCCCCATGCCCGGACTTCGGTGCCCGACACTGAGCTGCCAGGCAGGGCTGGAGGGGCAAATCGGGTCAGGGGCCCCTGCCCATGGAGGGGCGGGTGTCCCCCCTCTGCCAGGGACTCCAGGCCTCCACCTTCCAGACCCTGTCCTGAGAAAGCAGGCACCACGGTAGAAAGCCCGGGTGGGACCATGTTCTGGGCACGGCTGCCCTGCCCGGTGCCACCCTGCTGGGGCCTGGCCACCTGGGCGAGCCGTGGCTCCCCCACCGCCTGGTTCTCCCTGGCCCCCGGGTCTTTTGACCACGCCCAGCGCGTGGCCTACAGAAAGTGAGCATTTGGGAGAAGCTGGCGCCCGTGACCCGTGCACTGGCGCCCGGTGTGGACGTGCTGTGCCCTCCCGGACCCACCTGCTGACTCTCTTCCACCTGGTCCCCTGAGCCGCGAGTGCGAGTTGTTCCCGCGGACCTGCCCCCGGTGCCAGAGTCCAGACAGGGAGGGCGCCTGGCTGGGTTCTGGTGTGGCCAGCAGGGCTTGTCCAGCTCACATCGGATTAAAGTCCGCTCACCGTGTTCCTGGAGGGGGTCAGCCAGCCCCTGTGACCCCTCCTGGGGAACCGACGGCATTGGAGGCCATGGGGACAGAGGGCTCTCGGGGTCAGGTTTCCCTGGGACAGTAAAGAGATGACGCAGGTGCCGTGGCTTACAGCAGGTGACCCCTGGGGCCGCGCTCCTCACGCCCCGCCCGTAACCAACCTGCGGACCTGGCGGTGGGAGCAGGTGGCAAGGGGCCCCGCGGAAGAGCCCTGGCCCATGCAGGTGCCGGCGAGCGGGGGGGGGCCGGCTCGCTCCGTTCTCCAAATCCCCCAGCTCACCGCGCTCACCTCTCTCTTCGGGTCATTTAAAACCGGGGAGAGCTGTCAAACCGAAGTGTGGCCTCCTGAGTTCACCTTGTAGACACGTCACGTGCGTTTTACTGTCAACCTGCTTTCCCAGCGCAGGGATGGCGTCTGTCCGCGGGGAGGGCCAGGGAGGCTGTACCCACCGGACAGCATCCTCACGCGGACTTCTAAATGAACGTGGACACAAACACAGGGGCCGTTTAGGCACCTTGCTGGCAGCACACACCTTCCCTCTGGACGCGTGGTCACCGGGACTTCCCGGGTCTCAGTCGGGCCGAGGGGGTGCCAGGGTTGTGCCTGGAGCCCGTGTCGGGTCTTTGCTGAGGTCCGAGCTGGGTGTTGGCAGTGTTGGGGAGGGGACGACCAGGGCGCCGGGTCAGCGGGCCGCGAGCCAGGGACTGAGTGGGTGCCAGGCCGGGGGCCATGGGGGGCCGTCCCTGCTCCCCCAGGGCTGGGGTCCCCGTGCATGGCGCTCTCCCAGCCCCCCCATCCTGATTTTCCTTCCTTCTGTCCTGCATTCCCCACCTTCCCCTTCTCGTCTCGTCGGAAGGACACTTCTCGTGAGGCCGGGGGCCAGTGCGCCTTGATCTCTGAGAGGCGGGCCCTGTCCGTGTGTCCTGAGCAGACGGTGCAGGCTGAGCGCCCGCGTCTGCCTTCTCCACGTGGCCCCCTGTCGTCACTACGCCTTGCACTGGTGTTTGTTGGGAAGGGTGACTGCTAAGTAAAGGGCTAGTTTAAGTGGGGGGGTCCCTCTGTGTCTTCTGCAGGCCCGCGGGTTGTGACAAATGTATCCGTTCCGGCACCCTACGGCCCAGTACCCCGCTCCACCTGTATCTCCCTGAGCTTTGCTTTTTTTTATGCTTATATTTGAGAGAGAGTGTGAGTGGGGGAGGGGCGGGGAGAGAGGGAGACACAGACTCTGAAGCAGCTCCAGGCTCGGAGCTGTCAGCACAGAGCCCGACGCGGGGCTAGAGCCCACAGACCAGGAGATCATGACCTGAGCAGAAAGCCAAAGTTGGACGCTTAATCAGCTGAGCCACCCAGGTGCCCCTCCCTGAGCTTTTCGTTAGCCTCGCCTTTTACAAAAGGCCAGAGTTGGGGTCAGACTGGGGGAAGCCTTTCTAACCAGCTCTGTCTTGCGGTCATTGTACAGAATGACCTGTGTCACTCTGCGTCCTCCATTCAGTTTCAGAACCAGCAAGAGTCTCCAGGAGAGTGTTCTGGAGCGATGCCCAGCCTCTCCTGTGCTTCGCTCCTTTCGCGGTCAGGCCTGGCAGGCAGCGGCCTCGGGCTCCACCAGCTTGAGGCCCGGCCGGGCCGCCCCAGGGCCGCTGATCACGTCTCCTCTTCCAGATCCGCCTGGCGGACCCCCTGGGCAAGCTCTCGCACATCCTGGAGGTGGACCACTTCGCACTGGTGGTGCATGAGCAGGTCCAATGTGAGTGGGCGTGCGGCGGGCGGGGCAGCGAGGCCTTCGTGCCTCAGAGCGTCTGGGGAGCCGGGGGTGTGACCTCCGGCCCCCACCAGCCTGGGCCTGTGGATCTTGGAGGGACGCCTCCGTGGGCCCTGCCAGAGAGGCCACAGGACTTTTGAACTGCCGCGCACAGAGCCCCTTCTGGGCCTCCTCGGCGGGTCCCCACGGGCCAGGGGGTGCGTCCAGTCCTGGGTGAGGACCAGGGCTGTAGAAATGAGAATCGGGAAGGACCCGGAGTCGCTCCCTCCCGGCAGCGGCTGGTCTTGGGGCCCGGGCTGCCCCGCGTCTAACCCCTCTCCCGTCCTTGGCTCCACAGCACGGGACCTGGCCTTGCGGGGCGTGGTGGGGGGGCCCTCAGGTATGTACGCCCCGCCCGCCCATCCCTGCTGGAAATGGCTCTGTGGACACAGCCGGAGCCTCCGAGGGCATTCGGGGTCCTGGACCCCCAGCCCGAGGGGGAGGGCTCTTCCTCCTACTTGAATGTTTACTCACATTTGAACTTCTACCAAAAAAAAAAAAAAAAAGAAAAAAAAAGGCGGGAGTCCCAAGTTCAGAGTCACCCCTGACAGCGTTTACCCCGCTGCCTCCCGGGCTGCCAGAGCCCACTGGTCGTAGCAGAGACCCCATAGCCCTTTCCAGAACGCTTGCACGCCAGGCTCTGGACTAGTTTCCCCTGGAGGGTCTGCAGGGCGGATTAGAGAGGCTGCTCGGGACCACCCTCCCCTGCAGGGGCAGGACGGTCTGCACACCCCTGCAGCGCGGGGAGCCCTGTCCCCTGAGCCTCCCTGCGCACGCCGGCCGGGTGCCCCGCCCCCTGTGCCCTCCCCACCCCCACCTGCTGCGACCTCCGCCCTCGGAGGCTCGAGACCGTGGTGCTGGGGAAAGAGGGGGCGCCTGGCCCTCGGCGTGGCCGTCACGGTTCTCGGGAGGAACCACCACCAGGGAGTGTGGACACGGGGAAGGCGGTGGCTCACGTGCCCAGGCTGGTGGGTCCCGGAAGCTGCAGGGTGGGTGGGCAGGGCGGGCTCTAAACACAGGAAGAGGCAGCGTTTCGGTTTGAGTCCAAAGACCCGGGCAGTTTCTCGCTCTCAGAACGAGGCCGCCTGTTCGTTCTAGTCAGGCCTTTGGCTGATTAGGTGAGAAGCGCCATGCTACGAGGGGGCTCTCTCTCTTCTCCAGGTGCCCAAACATCAGGTCTCACCCAGGGACACACAGAGTAACGTCTGACCAAATATCTGGGCGCCCCGTGACTTCGTCAAGTGGGCGCATAAAATTAACGGTCTCAAAAGTCCTCTCTGGGCCGTGGCCGCACAGCTCAGCGGGCTGGGGCGGGGGTCCGTCCAGGCCTGAGAGAGAGGCATGGGTTTGAAGACAGGCCAGAGGCGTGAGCTGGTATAGCACGTGCGTGTGCAATACATGCACATGTGACATGTTGGAACTTCATGCCAAAACTCTAGCATCGGGCACCCAGGGGAACCTTGTTTACTTAATGACACCGGGGGCGCCTGGCCCAGAGGACGCGGTGGGGAGAGCCTGCGTGGGCGCCCTGAGCCCCCCTGCCCTGGCACGTGGGCCCGTGTAGACGTCGGGTGGCTCCAGGACAGGGCCCCGGGGTGTGGCTGCCTTTAAGCCACTCCATGCAGAGACCCCTTTACACCCGTTGCCCTGCCTTCCTCAGACCACAGCAACGGGAAGTCCAGTAAGAAGCAGATGGTGTTCGGGGTCGTCACTGCCATCGACTTGCTGAACTTCGTGGCCGCTCGGGAGCGTGACCGGAAGACCAAGCCGGGGAGCGCCACGGAGCCCAGAGCAGCCGGGGACACCGCACAGCTCTGACTGCGCCCACGCCTCCTGGTGTCCGTCCTCTTCTGCATTTGTGAACACAGAACACACACGCGTGAACTCGGGCTGCCTGGCGCTGGGCGGCGGCGTAGCACAGCGGGTGTGGGATGCTTAGCCCGGGGCCGCGCGAACATCAGCTTCCCTTTCCTAACACCGGGCGCCTCAGTGAATCTATTTATGGTTAGAGTAGCTGTGTCTTTCTTTACCTTCTAAAACGTTTCCACAAGAAAATCGTACTGAACAGAACTCAGCCAGGCAGGTGGGCCCTGCAGCGAATGACGGGAGCAGGTAGATAAAAGCGGAAGAAAGTGCTTTTCTGGAGAAAACCCAGAATGGGGAGCGGCAGAAAGGCGGCCAGGGGAAGGATGGACCGGTCCGGAGCCCTCACTCGGCGGTCCTGTCCGCTGGGGGCTGGGCTGCTTAGAGTGACTTCAGTGTTGGGGGGGCTCTTGATTGAGGTGAAATTCGCAAAACCTTAAATGAATGATTTAAAAACGTAGGTTCTCGGGGCGCCTGGGTGGCTTGATTGTCTGACTTCGGCTCAGGTCACGATCCCACTGTTCATGAGTTCGAGCCCCGCGTCAGCCTCTGTTCCCAGAGCCTGGAGCCTGCACCGGGTTCTCCGTCTCTCTGCCCCTCCCCCACTCGCACTCTGTCTCTTAAGCAGCATTAAAAAAAAATTAAAAATGTGCGTTCTCAAGTGTTGTGCAGTCACCACCCCATGTAGCCAAGTCCCGTGCACGGCCTCACCCCACCCCCCTCCCCCGGCCTCCGCCGGCCCGCGGTTGGTCTCCCCGGAATCGTCCGCTGGGACGCGCCCGTCATATGCAGGGAATCCTCCAGTCTGGCCTCCGTGTGGCTTGTTTCGCTCCGCGTCCTGTTTCTGGAGATCACCCACACTGCAGCAGGGGTCGGCACGCCCTTCCTTCTTACGGCGGAAAAGCCCCGTCGTGTGCAGGGGCCACGTTCTGTGTGTCCGTCCGACAGCTGAGGGACGTCTGGGTTGTTCCGCTTCTTAGCTGTCAGGGCTTGTGCTGCCATGAACTTGCATGTACAGGTGTTGTTTAAAGACCCTTGTTTAATTCGCTGGGTCACGTACCCAGGAGTAAAACTGCTGGGGCTGTGGTAAGTCTGTTTCATGTTGTGAGGACCGCCCCCCCCCCAGGCTGTGCCACAGGGCTTGTGCCAACTTTCACTCCCACCAGCCGTGCACAGACCGGTTTCTCCGTGTCCTTGTCGACACTGCCCAGTTCGGGGGGGCTTCTGTCGGCTTTATAACTGTGGCGGCAGGAAGTGTATCTCGTGGTTTTGATTTGCGTTTCCCTGACGACTAACCGTGTTGAGCATCTTATGTTCTTTTTGGCCATCCGTGTATCTCGTTTGGAAGCATGCCTGTCCAAGTTCTTTGCCCGTTGCTAAGCTGGGTTGTCTTCTGTTGTCCAGTTAGAGTTCATATTTTCTAGATCCTCATCGGATTGCGATTTTCTACCATTCTGTAGAGCACCTTTCCCCGTTCTTGATAATGACTTTTAGTGCACAACACTTTAAACTTTGATGAGGTTTATCCATTTTTTTCTTCTGTTACACCTTTGGTAGTACATAAGATGGCCCCATTATCAAATCCAAGGTCATGAAGTTACCCCATCTTCTTCTAAGACTTTTATAGTTTTAGCCGCAGGTCAGCTAAGTGACGTTCACTGATCCGTTTGGAGTTTTACACGTGGTGTGAGGTAAGGATCCAGTGTCCTATGTTTAAATGTGGACACCCCGTTTGTTGAAGAGACAGTGTCTCCCACTGAACGGTCTTGGCACTCTGGTTGAGAATCAGTTGTCCGTAGATATAAGCGTTCATTTCTGGGCTCTGTGTTATTGGTCTGTATATCTGTCCTAACGCCAGTACTGCACTATTTTGATGGCTACGGCTTTATAGTAAGTTCTGAAATCAGGAACCGCGGAGCCCTCCAGCTTTGTTCCTTTTCAGTATTTTGGAAATCACGATGGATCTTGATGGAGTTTTCTTCATGATTCCTGTGCCTGGAATTCTTTGAGCTTCTTGGATTCCACTATTTGACTAGAAGTAGTTCCAGAGAACAGGGAAGGGAATCACCAGTGAAACAGTTCACAAAGCTGTCCCAGACTGTGGGTCCACCCACGGGGGACAGGGAAAGACCCACACAGGGAACATCACTGTGAAACGTTAGGTCACCGAGAACAGGATCGATAGGTCACCCAGAAAGTCTGGGGAGTGAGAAAGGCGTCGGAGTTATCCAGCATTTGGAGGCTGGGAGCCGAGGGAGCCGAGCCTAAAAACATCTGGAATGGGAAGGAATGCAGGCCTGTCTCTCCCCTAACAGCAAGCTGGGGTACAGACATTTCCACTGAGGCAGAGTGGCCACCTGGCCCCAATGAGATCCCAAAGGGTGTCCCCAGAGCGGTGGGGAAGGTGGGTCCCCGACCAAGGGCTGGGCAGCCATGGGCTGCAGGTGATGCTCGGGGGAGGGGACATCAGAGACCTATAAACATGAGAGTCACAGGCCTGGTAGAAAGTGGGGTCGCATCGGTACCTGGCGAACGCCACAAAGACTGTGTGGGTGAAGTCTGCACAGCTGACCCTTGAGCAGCACAGAGGTTAGGGATGCCAGACCCCCCCACCTCCCCCTGCAGTGAAAAACCTGTAACTTCCGTTCCTCAGAAACATACCTGTCCACAGCCTCTTACTGCCCAGAAGCCTTCTGGTGATGCGTATTTTGTCAGGGATGTACGCGCTGTATTCTTACAGCGGGCTAAGCTAGAGGAAAGGAAATGCTAGAACATCAGGAAGAGAAAATACATTTACGGCACGAGACGGCTGAGAAAAATCCACGTATGAGTGGATCTGCGCAGTTTAGACCCGTGTTCAAAGGTCGGCTGTGGAAGAAACGCGATTACAGCGCAGACAGAACTAAGCCAGGACAGATGGCGGCGTCCTTCAGGTCACAGAAGCCCGAGTACGGTGTGTCCAGAAGTTAGCGTGAGCTACGCAGGAAGGACGGCTGTGCTGGGGGAGGGGCCCGCAAGCACCGGGAAGCTTCACCTTCGCGGTACCAGGCAGTAGAACGAGTAGCGGAACGAAGGCTTATGAAAGCCGCGTGCAGACCCCGGGAGCGGCAGCGGGCGGAACTGAAAGGGTCTCTGGGTGGCAGGCAGGGCCTGGGACCTGCTGCCGTGGTGGCCAGCCACCACCTAGGGCTGTGTGACCGCATCTGTGTGTGACTTAGACTTAAATCATCTTTTTACAGAAAGCTGGTAAATCCAGTTTCTAGACAGAAAGGCAGGTATCTTGGGCATCTTTCTGAAGTTCAGCAGTCCCTGTATTAGGCCTCTGGGGACCAGTGAGCAGGTGGGTGAGACAGCCTGTGTGGTGGCCCGGATCTGATGCTGCCTTCACCTGGTTCCCGGACGGGCCAGTTTACCACCTCCCCCAACAGCGCTGGTACTGACAGTGCCACGACACTTGCAGGGCCTGGTCCCCGGGCACCAAGGAGCAGACTGGGTGACGACGCTGTGCGGCCTGGGCCCGACTCGGGGTCTGCGCCAGCAGGCTAGTGGGAACCCCTGTCCCTGGAGGCCCCTCAACCTGCTCAGGAGCCCAGCCGCCCCCGCCGCCTACGCGGGGGGCAGAGGGTGGTGGCCCCAAGGGGTCGACTTGTCCTCCTCCCCAGCCCCAGGATGCGGAGCCGGGGGCCGGTGCCCGTGGCCACATGCGGTGGTCTTGGGGGGAGCTGATGAGCCTGCCCACTGGACTGAACCCGGGCACGGCCACACCGGCTGCAGGGGGCACTGGAGGGTGAGGTGTTTAGTTGGTCGCCCCCGGGGCCCAGCTTCACGTGGCAGTGGGGGCGGCTAGTCCTAAGGAGAAATGAAAGATGGAGGCTGTACCCCCACCCTGTCCTGAAGGCGCCCTTTCTACTGGAACCCCCAGAGTGACAGAGATGGCTCGGGACACTACTGTCCCTGCGGGCAAGCCGATGGAGCTCCCTGGGCGCAAACCCGGGATCCCCCCACACGGCTGGCAGACCCTTTCCTCCCACGGCCACTCCAGGCCGTGCCGCCATGCCCAGCGGGTGTGGATCGCCTCACCTCCGGTGTCCTGGTCGGGGACAGAGCCCGCTGTCCGAGGGAAGCACCAGTCACTCTGCTGACGTGCCCCGCAGCTACAGCACGGGCACCTGCCAAGCGTGGCGCCAGGTACCCCCCCCCCCGCCTCCCCGCCCCCCCGCAGGGTCTGCAGCAGGTCCGTGACCACATGCACGGGCGGGGGTGGCCGCGTGGCGCCTGCCCCGTCCCTGGTGTGGCGGCTGGGCTGGGCCGGGACCTCCCGCAGGACCAGCTGGAGTCTGGCCTCCCTGACTGGCAGTTTCCGTTTTGCTGACTGAGCCCTGACTGCGTCCCCCCCCCAGCAAGCAGCCTGGAGCGGGGACCCCTAGGCGGCCGGGTTCTCAGCCCTTCCGTCCCGGCCGGGTGCTCGCGGGGTTCCTGGGGCCCGGCCTGCGGGAGGAGAGGCCTCGACGAGGCGCGGCGGGGGGCGTGGCGGGTGCCGGGACACTCCTGCTCCCCCGGAGCTCTTCTGGGTGTTGTCGCCTCGGCTTAGAACACTGTCAACAGCCCTTCCCTCCTCGGGAGACCGTCCCGGCAGCCTGCCCAGATTCTTCCTGATCTGCTAGGTTAGTGACCGTCGGGGAGAAAGCGCCCGCCGTGGGGAGTGCTGGCCACCCGCGGGCCCTCAGCAGGCAGGGATCTCCCCCCATCCCGGGCAGGGGCCCCCACCGCTCCCGGCCACGGGAGACCGAGCAGCCTCTGGGGAGGGCGGCCTGACAGCACAGATCTAACAGCCCATCCTGCACCCAGCAGACACTGTCGAGCACCCCAGACGGCAGGCTCCACCCCGGGTCCCGGGACCACAGGCTCCCCACCGGACCCCTCGGTGGGATCACGGACGGGCGAGTGCAAGTGGATCCCAGCTGCCAAGAAACTGGCGGGTGAAGCAAGTGCGGCCTACACACGCGGCAGAGCACTGCCCAGCCGCACGGGGGAAGGACATTCGGACCCAGGCCACGGGGGCGAGCAAGCCTCGAGGACGTCGTGCCCCTACAGTAAACCAGTCACAGAAGCCACACAGAGGCACCTAGCCGGGTCACACCCATAAACACAGAAAGTAGAACAGGGGGCGCCAGGGGCTGACGGAGGCGGATGGGGAGTGGGCGTACTCAGTGGGGACAGAGTTTCAGTTTGGGAAAATGAAGAGTTCTGGAGGCGGACGGTGGGGATGGGCTGCGTGACCACGTGAGCACACCTAATGCCCCAGAACTGTAGGCCTGAAACCTAGTTAAGGTGGCGTATTTGTGTTGTGTGTATTTTACCACAGTGAAGAAAGCAGGGAAAGGGTCGCAGAGACAGGGAAGTGGGTGCAGCTGGTACCCACCGAAGGTGACATTGGAGACTGGAAAGTTGTACGGAGCCGCCCAGCAGATCGCAGGTAAGAATCCTTCAGGCTTGGAGCACAGCTGGT